GTTTCCCTGTTGGGATAATCTCATTGATTATCTGGAGCATTACTCTAAGAGAGAGTGGAATCAAATGTATATCATTAGATATTTTCCTTCATTATAGACCATGTTGTATACTCGGGTGAGATGGAAAGGTTGGATAAATATTCATGAATTCAGTGGAGGGTTCAGTGGCTTCCTCCTGTCATCAGGAGTCTCCCTGTGTGCCTGTAGCTGTAGATAATAGATTGTGTTTTCACTGCTGGTATTGAGACTGTGCAGGCTAAACCTTGTACTGTTGTCAGTGGTCATGGTTAATTTACTGCCCTCCTCTGTGCTTCTCACATCTGTTCTGACTATGTGGCACTGCCCCCTTGTGCTGGAGATAATATTACAGCCAGCTGCAAGATGTCAGGGAGAGCTTTTCAACAAAAACAGTATAGAAACCAGAAAAGAACAACAGTGGCTGTTGGTGTTTATTTAGTGCATTAGCTTCAGTATTGATTTCAAATTCTTCTTGTGAAGGGTTTCGGAGAGGAGAGCGGTTGAGTCCCAGGCAGTCAGTGGGAAACAACTGGAGAATGTAAAATATAGAGTGTGGTTTCTGCTTTCTCTGCCGGTCCCATTTGTGGTTCTCCACACCAGCCTGTATTGCTCAAACATTTATTCGTACAGTGTGGTTTAAACATTTTACATTTGGCACCAAAGTCTGGATTATTTTCTGCTGTAACCCACTGGAGGTCATCCCCCTAGTGCCCTAGTTTTCAGTCTTTACTAAGCTACGCTAATCTGATGGACAAGTGTTTTCATTGGTTGTTCTTTTATATATGTTTCAGAGAACCATTGTACTCAAGAAGAGGGGGCGTAAAAGAAAGAGAATAAACAGCAGCGTAACAACAGAAACCATCTCTGAGACAACAGAGGTGCTGAATGAGCCCTTTGACAACTCTGAAGATGAGCGTCCTATGCCCCTGCTGGAGCGCACCTGCAGGGTGGGTGAGATGGAGGATGAGGAGGAACAGGAGGACAAGACACCAATTATACCAGTGAAACGGCGGAGAGGTCGACCCAGACTGGAGAAAAATGCGCAGAAGGACCACCTTGAACACTGGAATGATGGTATTTGCATCTTTGCAATATTCTGTACTATGTTGTTTCTCATAAAATATAACATTTGTGTTGCAAATAGCTCTGTCCCTCTGGCAAAACAGTAAACAGTTTATGTTTGTTCTATAGGAGCTGATGTCCTCTCTAAGAGACCTGGCAGACCCCGTCCAGTGAAAAGGAAGAAAGGCTGGCCCAAAGGAGTGAAACGTGGCCCTCCTAAATGGAGGCTAAAGAATGAAAGAAAGATGGGCTTCAAGCTCAACCTGTACACACCACCTGAAACCCCTATGGAAGCGGAGTATATTCACACTGATGAAGCAAAAGGAGAACCAGACCAAGCTATTGTCAGTGCAGATGAGGGCAACAAAGCAGGCAGAGGCTCAGCTAGTCAAGATATAAGGCTAGAGAGGCTCTCCACAGAGCCACCAAGTCCTGTTGATCATGGCTCCCTAAAGTCGAGCTCCCCTGAAGGATCACCGGTGGCTTCTCCATTGTGCTCACCTGCCGCAATGTCCCCTAGGCTGGAGGACAGAGGTGATTCCTCAGAACCACCTGAAGATGACCAGCCAGAGAGTGAACATGAGGAGGAGTCCTTAGCCAAAGATGTGAAACACAGCAAAGAGCGTACTGAGTCACTGGAGCATGAAAATGAGGAAGAGGAGGAGGACGAGCAGAGAACTCAAATTGAGGACCAGGATGCAGATGATGAAGATGACAGTCGCAACAAAATGGTAGAACCCGAAAGCAGCAAAGCTGAGTTGGAACAGAGTTTGAAGGAAATACCTGAATGCACCCCACCTTTTTTAGATCCAAAAGAAGATGACGACTCTGAGGTGAGTCATCAGGTCTCTGTGGTGTCATGTAGTGAAGAAAAACTGGCTACTGCTCCAGAAACCATCCAGGAGGCAGTGCCAGAAATGACAGTAGCAGCACAACCACCTGAAGCAGTAGCGGTTGCTTCAGTAGCAGCAGTAGACTCTGATAACCCTGTAGACTCTGAGTCAGAGGAAGAGGGCCTGCCCAGTCCTTGTCGTGATCACCTAGCTCCTCAGCCTGTAGAGAGGCAAACACTCAGTCCCGTGCTCAGGGATACCCCTGTCTGCACAGAGATTGACTCAGAGACAGCCCAAGCTGTTCAGTCCCTGACGCAGGAGAATGTTTTCCAGGACTGTGTGGAGACCCAGGAGCCCTGCAGGAGCTTGCAGACCTATGGCCATGTGGCTCAGAGCCCCCAGCTCACCTCACTGGATGACTGCCCCCAGTCAGACCACAGCAGTCCCCTTTCTTCCGCTCAGTCCCATCCCAGCCAGTCGGTACGCTCTGTTAACAGCCCGGCTGTCTCCATCCTGGAGAGCGGATACACTCAGATCAGCCCAGACCACAGTGCCATCTCAGTGCCCTCACTCCACAACATGGAGACAAGCCCCATGATGGATGTGCCGTCTGTGTCAGATCACTCGCAGCAGGTAGTGGACAGTGGTTTCAGCGATCTGGGCAGCATCGAGAGCACTACTGAGAACTATGAGAACCCCAGCAGCTATGACTCCACCATGGGGGGCAGCATCTGTGGAGCAGGCCCCTCCCAGAACAGCTGCTCCTATGGCAGCATTCCCCCCAGTGGCCTGGCCCAGAGCAGCTGTGCTGTGAGCCAGCAAATGGCTGCCGTCAACCCTGGCAGCTGTGGGATGATTCAGCAGAACAGCCTGAGCTCACCACCACACTGCAACGTCAAGTCGCCACAGGGCTGCGTGGTGGTGGAGAGGCCTCCCAGTAACAGCCAGCACAGCCAGCGGAGCCAGCACAGTCAACACAGCTCCCACAGCAGGCATGGCTCACACAATCAGCACAGCCAACACAATCAGCTAAGCCAGCACAGTCAACACAATCCCCTCAACCAGCATAATCACCACCACAATCACCACCTGCAGCACAATCAGCTCAGCCAGCACAATCAGCACGCTCAGCATAGCCTTCACAATCAACACAGTCAGCACGGCCAGCAGCAGCCCATGGCACAGTGCACTATACCCACCAACTTTACCACCACCATGCAGCTGGCAGACATTCCTGAATCTGGCAACCCAAACTTCGCCCTTTATGAGAGGATTAACCACCAGGGGGAGTATGGCAGTGGGCACTACTCCCAGTCATCTGGTCTGAGTCTGGCCAAACTGCAGCAGTTCACCAATACATTCATAGACCACCCTCACTCGCTGCCTTTCAACCACTCTGCCTCACACCCCATCACATCTTATGCAAACACACCTTCGCTGTCTTCACAGCACTCCAGCCTGGTCTCCTTGTCTCAGACCCCACATAGAGTCTCCAACCCACAGGTGCAGGCCACCATGACCCCGCCTCCAAATCTCAGTTCCCCCCCACCTATGATGCTCCAGCGCAACATGGGCATCCCATCCTCACAGCGCATCCAGCCCCAAATGGCCTCCAAGAGTCACATCTCCACACACTCCAAGTCAGCCCCGCTGTCACACCACCACCAGCAGCAGATGTACGCTCGGCCGCCACAGGCTGTGGCCATGCAGGCGCCATCCAGGACGCTGGCTGCCATGCCACGCATGAACATGAGTGTGAACATCATGCCGGCGCCAACCTACAATGTCAACTCCATGAACATGCCCTCCCTCAATGCCATGAATGGCTACAGCATGAGCCAGCCCATGATGAACAGTGGCTACCATGGTAACCATGCCTATATGAACCAGTCACCCCAGTACTCTATGCAGATGGGCATGATGGGAACACAGCCATACCCCCAGCAGCCCATGCAGGCTCCACCACATGGCAACATGGTGTACACTCCAGCTGGTCACCATGGTTACATGAACACGGGCATGTCCAAGCAGTCCCTGAAAGGGCCTTTCATCAGGCGGTAACTGTCTGCAGGACTGAGCTGGTTCTTCTCACGTGCATTTTGCTGTTTAAAGATGCACTGATCTGGCCTTGTTTTCTTGTTTTAGTGTCCTTTTTGTTTTTATTACTTAAAAACCAGCAGCAGCACTTGGAAAGAATGCAAAAATTTTCATCAGTGAGAAAACTTTGAAGCTAATCTTAAAGTATTTTTGTTCCTACAGATGGGAAGCCTTACATCATTACGATGAAAATCTGTTTAATTAGTGTTAGTGTCTCTGATGTGTCTTTAGAGCAGGCGGGTTCAGAGCTCAGAGGTAGAGATTTCGTCAGTGGTCTTGCAGTCGTGTAGCAGCCTCAAATGAAGCCATTTAATGTGCCTGCTACAAGTGGAGTTAGTGGCTGTTTGTACCTGTCTAACAGTGCTGACAATTAGTTTGTACTATACTCATGCCTTTGTATATTTAAATTATTGTACTTATTTTGTAAAGTGACAGCTAGCATGCTTCAGTCTCTGTTAGTGACAGTGCATTGAGTAGTACTGTACAAGTGTTGTGCTTAATAGCAAGCCATTTTAAAGATATCTGGCCTTTATTAGGTTTCCCTCCACAGGGAGAAAGATGAAACTATATTTTGTTAATTCTAATAATGTAAAAAAAATGTAAACCTAGTCCTGTTTCCTGTTTGGTTTGAGAGGTTTTATTGCTATGTATGTATAATTCTGAAGTTTTTTGTAACAGAGGCAGCTTTCTGTTTAATAAAACAGACTGATTTCTGTCAAAATAACAAAGCATATCTCAGTGTTTGTACCCTGAAAATTCTAAAACATTTCAAAATGTCCAGAAGTGTGGCGGAATTTAAAAAAAACTAAATGATTATAATGAATAACAATAAAGAAAATATAAATTTAGTCCAAAGTTGATATTTTACATAATGCCTTTAAAGCTACGTTTTCATTCCATCTGTAGATTTGTTTTCTATCTTTATAAAATGTTGGATTTATATTTTACCGAAGTGTAGAAGAATAGAGCCTGTGAATAGACCAAACTAAGCTAATGGATTGCATGTAAAACGCAACTTGTACTTGTGTTTTTGTTTATATTGCTCTTTTGTAGCCTTTGTACCTGTACAGAGTTGCTGGTAAGAACAGGGGGTAAATACCTGGCTATGTGCACAAAAATCAGACTGAATGACATTCTTGTATTTATGACTTTTCTCCTTTTGTCAGTCACTTAAAATGCTGTACATTTTAGCATAAGAATAAATTATGATTGACCATGTACTTGATTGTTCTTCTTTCATTTGAAACTTACTAACCTGGGGGATGCAGTGATGAATGATCCCGGCAGCTGTTCACTCTCCAGAAAAGTGTTTTACTTGAGATTTCAGCTTCTAAAATTTTGCCAAGAAACTTAAAAACAAAAACATCACTATGTCAAATTTTTATAACAGTTATGATGGAATTAAAAGCTTTACAATGAAAATGTTCGTATGTTGTTTTCATGGTTGGCATTCAGAGACCTGAAAGACTTGCATATTGTTTTTCAATCTGCATATTTAGACTTGTAAACATGATTTTAAGGACTTGAGATTTGCTCTAATATACTTGAGACTTGACTTTGAATGAACAGACTTTATTTATATCCAGTGATTTGAGACTTGACTGGACTTGTCTTCAGTGACCTGAGGCTCAACACAAGTCCTACAAATCAACTGTGCTCTGATGAATCTCTTTTCTCCAGGAGTTGCATGTCCAGCTCTCTCAGCTGTTTCAAGAAGCCCCAGTTGGGAATGATCCGCCTGCGCTTTTTCACGTGCTCAATGGCGTCGACCACCGTCATCTTCTCACAGATCATGAGGTAGGCAAGGAAAAGTGTGGCAGACCGGCTTCTTCCCATCACACAGTGCACCAGCAGTTTATCTGGAGGTAAATCACACAATCGGCGAATTGGAGTTACATGTATTAGTTAAATTTTCTCTGTTTATCTAAATCACAAAGAGCACTTTCACCATGCAGAAGGTTCTGTCTTAAAGTCTCAGGTTCTGGATAATACACAGCCCTTACTGTCGCAGGTTAGTCGTCATTAGAATCCAAAAAATCAAGATGTGATATGAGTGAAATGAAACTTTGTGTTTTCTTACTCTGTGGGTTGCTCAGTGTTTCCTCAATGAACCGAGCAGCAGAAAAGAAATACTGGCTGAGATCAAAAGTTGGGACATCTTCTGCTACCACACCATAGTAGACAATGTCTGTGTCACTGTAGTAACCAGCTCCAGTGTCAACACTGTTCCACGTCCCCTCTGCTGCGTTCAAGATGTGTGTAATCCCCAGCTTCTTCAGAGTATACTTGTCCTTTGCAGTTTCCCTGCAGGAATAGGGTTTGAACATTATTTTAATCCTTTATTATATGTTTTAGAATTTCCTACATTTTTACTTACTCGTCCCCAATATAGACATTAGGCCAGACCTCGTCGACGTGAGTGTAAGCTACAATCCCACGGTTGAGGATTTTCTCCAGCTCAAAGCCCCCAGGTGTGACATATTCATTCGCTGAACTGGATTCCTCTGCTGTCGTAACATTTATCTTGGTGCCAGTTTTTGACTTGTGAAAAGCCATTTTCTCACTGTGGCTTCCTTTCACATATGATTTATTAGCTTAAGAGGAAGAAAAAAAAAACGCTTTTTTTTCTTTCACCTTTCTCCCCTCTGCAGTCAAGAATAAGTACAGTTTTGTTTTATTTTTCGCATGCATCTCCAAAACCACTCACCAAAAGACTGAAGTCCTTTGTTTTCCTGTATGAAAATGTTGTCATCATTCTGGCAGCTTGTTGTGAAGCAGTACTTAAAAGCAGAACATGGTAAGGTTTAATTGTGGGAGGCTCAAGTCAGGGCACAGATTGTATAACCATCCTGTGACGAGCATCAAATGCATGGGATATTTTTAGGGTTGCGATGTAGTGGGCTGTTGCACTTAGCTGCCATATTCCCTTCCTGTGGGGAAAACTTCCACCCAGCCAGTCAGTCCCTGCCATCCACTTCTAAACACACAACTTTAATCTCCGCTGCTGGCAGGAAGCCATGCTTATCCAAACTTTGCACTTGCCAAAGGATACCCAAATTCACTGGAGTGAACAAGGCACTCTGAGCTTATTTCCCAGCTGTTGCAGTGACTCCTTGAAATTGTGTCAGTCTCTTTTAGCCTTTCTGCAAATGTTCACATGCCGGGAGAAACCGTGTTAACGCCGCCTCACAACACCCATTAAGGATGTTCTGCATCTTCTGGAGCCTCTCAGGGCCAAAAAAAGAACTGAAATGTGTCAGACTGTTAGACAGATGAGGTTTTTCACAGGATGGCACATGACTTTGATTCTGTTATATGATATGCATGGTCCATTCAGCGATCTAAATGCAAGCCCCCGAAGTGAGAGTGTGATGATGGCTGTATTGCAGAATGGCTGGATGAAGCTGCTAACATGTCAGACAGCGTTTTCACACCATCAGACCCCTTTATTTTCTCTCATATCTTCATACTCTGCCATCATTCTTCCTGACAGTGAAATCATTAAACCTGTGATATCCAATTCCTTTTATTTTGACAGAATCTTTCTCTCTGTCTCCCAGTGTGCTCTGGAGAGCATCTCTTATTAAGATGGCTTCAGTGTTTCATCTCTTTTCAAAGTCTGACCTGAATCTGTATACACACCCTCAGAACCATGCTGGCATATTTTTGTCATCTTGTATAAAGCCTCTTTAGATATCACAGTTTTAACTGTCTGACACAGGACTGCAGCAGTTAAGACAGTATTTTGAGAAATCTGAATAAATAAGTGAAGCATTATTTATTTATAGGCACACACTTGGTGTTGTACAGCACAGCAGCAGGGGTTTTGGCAGTTGTGCTACATTTGTTTTAATAGCCTTTGTGATATTGACTGAGCTGTGTATAAGACATACAGTAAGTTTCAAGGATCACACCAGTGTTTTCATGTTTCAGCTACTTAACTACAAACTATATAGACTTTACATTTTGTTGACTGCTTTCAAATACATGTGCAGTGGTGAAAATTCTCTCCCATCAATTTCATCTCTGTAGATGGATCCCAGTTCCCGTATTTTATCGTTCTTCAGTCCCTGAGCCTCACTTGACCTGGAAATTCTGGTCCACCACGATGGACGTCTCAAACATGGGTGGGGCCAGGTGGTGTCCACTGCCACCCAGAATCTAATTGGCCACCGCTGTTTGGGCTCACTGGGGCAGGGGATCTCTGTGAAGCAGTGATGTCCCAGACATCATTACCAAAGAGCAAAAAGTAGCACAGCCAAAGTTGGCATAAAAAAATCTCAATTTTTTACACAAAATAAAAAGGTATATGTTTAATTTCATAGATCTAGGAGTTTCATTTTTTTAATGCACGCTTTTCAAAATGTGCCACCCACTTTGAGTTTGTACACCAGCCTGGTCATCCAGCAAAAATTTTCTAGAATCACCGCTGGTCCCAAGGCACTCATTGCTGCTCTGGAGAGCAAGGAGGCTGTCTGGAGGTGCTATAACCAAGGATACCTGAGTGCATCCTTCATGGAAGTCTGTTGTGAATTGACAAGCACCTTTATTGGAAATCAATTTTTGATTAGATGCTTCACATGAAGGCTTGAAGGAAACCATGTCTGTCAGGTAAAACTTTTTCCCTTGGCTCCTCACTTTATATCTTTTCCTCACATCTTATGAGGGCAGGACTAAGATACAAGGAAAAGACAAGTGAAGGAAAGGTGGATGCGTTTCAGAGAACTGGGATTCACCTTACATCTTGACATTAAAGCATTCTCCTTTACAGGGCCAAAGATGAGTCCAGATGACAGAGTTGGTTCAGAAATCCAACATTTGGGAGAATGTTTCTGTGCCTGTGAACAGCTACATGACACTAAGTCTTTCTTTCATCATTAGGAAGGCCAGTACAAAAGTCGCTGAGTGGCTGATTCCTTGAGCACAGTGGACCAGCACCTTACTTGCACAGACGACACCCAATATAATTTCACATTACAATCAAATTTTCTGCTCGATGATGCATCTTGTCATGTTTTTGTATCACAATATATTGTGCTGTTATACATTATTACACTCCTATCCTAATGCATTTCTGTTTTCATTACCTTTCTGACTCAGAGCACTGTGAATAAAATCAGCCGTCTCAGTAAAAAAAATGGGCTCAAGTCGAAATCTTTACAATCTGCGGCTTCTACTCCATGATACAGTATGTTGGTGTCTTTGTAGAAGTGTGGCCCGGTATCGATGTGCTGGGGGCCATCTTCAGTATTCACTATGTGTGTTATACCCAGATTCACTAACAGGGTTTTATCCTGAGCTGTAGCCCTGCAAACGACGAGATGAGAAGAGCAGTGTCGTTCTTGGTGGTTCTTCTCGCCTGTGGCCAGCTCTAATTATATGTCTGCAAATGCATCACACTGATGAGTCAAATGTACAGATTTCATATGTGTCCCATCAGTTGGCCAAATACAGGACTTGTTTGCAGCAACAGTCTCACAATCAGATCACCATATTGCAGCAGGGCCCTGAAGTGAGAATGCCACTTATGCATTTCCAATGTAGAGGTTGGGCCAAACCCTGTTGACAGCTCCAGTGGGGCGTCTGTTCTTCAGCAGAAGGCTGAGCAGATCACATGTGGGTGGTGTTTGATACTCTGGCTCCTCCTCTGGGCTCATGTCCTCATCTTTCAGTGTCACAGAATCATCACAAATTATATTCATTTAAACACTTAGATAACACACTTCCTTGAAGAAACATCTGAGTTGGTGTTAAGTCTAAGCATGGGAAGGACCCAAATATGCAGACCCAGACTAGAGACTTGTATGCTTTTAAGCAGTTTAATATCACTAAGAAATACAAGGAACAAAGGGGGTAATCTACAAACAGGTAAAGAAAACACATAAATCTGTCAGGAAGCAATACAACAACAAAAATCAGGGAACCACGCTAATAATTATCAGAACACAGAGTCCACAGACCAAGCAGGGGGAAATATCACAACATACAAGAGTCCACATAAAACAGAACGTGAAGAGAAAGGAACCAACAAGGTGTGGTGATCTAGGAGGGAGCACAGGAGACAGTGAAAGGATGACAGAAGTGGCAGGGTAAGGCCATGGACAAACAGATCTTGAGAACAGTTGATGCTTGAAAACCAGAGGAGCCAGCAACCAAACTGAGGGAAGGGAGGTCAATATAAAGGCTGAAGACCAGAAGATAATAGGCAACAGGTAGAGACAATGAATGGTGATTAGGAACCGGGGTAAAGCCGGGGCAGGAGAGGTGAGACAGAACAGGAAGTCCCTACATATCAAAAGCACAAGACAGGAAGCAAGTACCACACTGTGACAGTTTGTGCTGCTGTCCTGCTAGTTTTTCTTCATGTAGGTATCTGGAAAGAAAGATTAGACTAAATTCTGACCTTATGGGTGCAGCTAGGTCTGTTTTCCATCTCAGCTGGATTTCAGTGCTCTTCAGCGGCCGAGCCCTGCTGGGATGAGACAGCTGTAGATACCAGAGTCTGGGCAGGAACAGTTGGACTATTTATTTCTCAGATGACTGTGACAGAAGCCAGGCTGCTTGTGTTGGGACAGCTTCAGCTACAGAGCCACAGCATTGCTTACAGTTGTAATAGTGTAATTGGAAAACACAATCAGGAATTACTACCAGGTTGCCACACTGAGTCAGTTCAAAGCTCATCAATTTGTACCTAATGTAGGGACTTTAGAGTTCTAATGCTGGTGTTATTTTATCTTTTGACTGATAAATTATTTGGCTGATATTATCACCCCAAAACACCCAAAAGCTACAGAAAATATGTTGTATTTGGTGTCATATTTGGTCATTATGATGAACATTTACACAATAGTTTATTTGGAAAGAACTCAGCAACTGCATTTTCCATTTCTAGAGGGTAGGTCTGAGTCATAATGTAGCATACACAGAGACATGGGGCAGTGTTCACATTGGTGTGAGAAATGGACTTCACTAGTTATTGAAACTTCACTTTGAAATCCTTTCAGCAGTCATTTTAGAACTTCTGAGCATGTCAAATGATTTTTGACAACAGATGGGAGTTTGCCTATTTGTAATTAAAAATGAATCGATTTATCAATTTTATCTCAAGTCCGCTCACTGACACTCCAGCTCCTCAGTGATCCATGGCAGTGCAGCTTTTTGTCCAGCTCTCGGAGCTGCTCCAGGAAACCAGAGTTAGGGCAGATGTTCCTGTTAGCGCTCACAGCTTTGATTGCGTCTACCAGCGTCATGTTCTCATGGATCATCAGATAGGCCAGGACCAGGGAGGATGAGCGGCTGAGACCCATCGCGCAGTGGACAAACACTCTGCCTACCAAGCAGTGGAAACAAAACCTCAGCATCAATTCCTGTGTCTCTTTTCAGAGTTTAGCCATCCCCTACCAGCTCTGTGTCTTTATTTACAGTACACGATGCAGTGACTGGATTATTGTGGTTATTCTAACTGTCTAATTTGTTACTCCTCTGTGGATTAAAACCCATGCACATCACAGAGAGTAGTACTTCCAACTCCTGACTCTAAGTTTTCAACAATGTTG